TAAGGTGAAAAAGCCAAAATCGGGCAAACAGCGCCAGAGCTGAGGGTGAAAAATGCAAATTTTGGAGGAAAAAAATGCAAATTTCGGTTGAAAAATCCCCAATTTTGGCTCCTCTGCTCCTTTTAGGGGAAATCCCGAAGGTTTTGGGTAAAACCCGAAATTTACTGGAATGAAAAATGCAAAATTTGGGGTGAAATTTGCATGGTTTGGTTAAAAATAATGAATTGAGTGGAAAAAATCGATTTACGGGAAAAAAAAGGAGAATTTTGGGGCAGAATTTAAAGTTTTTGAGAAAAAGAAGAATAATTTTTAATTGAAAAAATTGAATTTTTGGAGCGAAAAAAATCCGAATTTTTGGGGTTAAAAATGCAGAAATTTGGGGCAAAATTTCACTTTTTAAAAGTAAAAAATTCATATTTTTTCAAGCAAAAAATTCGCTTTTTTTGATGTAAAAAATTCACATTTCCGGACTAAAATAAATTCACACAGAGAAGTAAAAATTTATAATAATTTATTCTGAAAAAACACAAATTTTGAGGCAAAATTCAACATTTTTAGGTAAATTCTTTATTTCAGGGTAAAATTCTTCATTTTCAGAGCAAATGTTACAAATTTACGGCAGAAATTCACAATTTTTAAGGCAAAATGCCACAATTTTAGACAAAAAAAAATCACATTTTTACCATTTATTCCCATTTTTACCCCAAATTTTCCTTTTCCCCCCAAATCCACCAAAAATCCCCATTTTCACCTCGTTTCCAACCTAAATTTCATTTTTTTTTGAGGAAAATCAGCGATTTTTGGTCCAAATTCACCTTAAATTCTTCAATTTCTGCCCCCAAAATTGAATTTTTTCCACCTAAAAATCTTCATTTTCCCATCCCCAAAATCTTCATTTTTTACCCCAAAAATCCTCATTTTCCTACCTCAAAAATCTTCAATTTTTGCACAAAAATCAGGATTTTTAACCCCAAAATATCTTCATTTTCAGGCTCAAAATTTTTCTTTTTTCTGCCCCAAAAATTGCAATTTTCCACCCAAAAATCTTCATTTTTATACCCCCAAAATTCCGATTTTTGACCCAAAAATTCTTCAATTTTCCACCCAAAAATCTTCATTTTCAGCCTTCCAAAATCACGATTTTTTTCACCCAAAAATCCTCTTTTTTCCTCTCCAAAAAACATCACTTTTCTGCCCAAAAATCTCATTTTTACCCTCAAAAAAAAATCACAATTTTCCACCCCCAAATCGCGGCTTTTTCACCTCAAAATCGACCTCCAAAAATCCTCGATTTTCACCTTAAAATCTGCCCGAAAATCCCGATTTTTCGACCCAAAAGTCTTCATTTTTCCACCTAAAAATCTTCTTTTTTTCATCCAAAAATCTTCTTTTTCAGGGTCCCAAAATCGATTTTCTAAGTCCGAAAATTGTGATTTTTCCACCCAAAAATCTGAATTTTCCAGGTCAAAAAATCTGAATTTTTAATTAAAAAAAAAAAACCAAATTTTGACCCAAAATCTCCAGTTTTGGGTCAAAAAATATTAATTTTTATTTTTAAAAATTGCAATTTTGGGAAAAAAAAATCCTCATTTCTATTTTTAAAAAATTCCAAATTTAGGTTAAAAAAAAATCTTCATTTTTAGGTCCAAAATTTGCAATTTTGGGTCAAAAATTTTCATTTTTTGTCCTAAAAAAATCCTAATTTTAGGTCTGCAAAAAATCCCTATTTTGGGTCAAAAAAAATCCCAATTTTCTGCCAAATTTCCTAATTTTGGGTCCAGAAATTGTCTTTTTTATTTCATTTTTAAAAATCCAATTTCGGGTCAAAAAAATCCTCATTTTCCACCCAAAAAAAAATCCCAATTTTAGGTCATAAAAATCCCAATTTTGGGTCAAAAACTGTCAAATTTTACATCCAAAAATTTTCATTTTTATTTCATAAAAAAATCCCAATTTTAGGTCCAAAAAAATCTCAATTTCGGATCCAAAATCTTCATTTTTAGTCCCAAAAAAATCCCAATTTTAGGTCTGAAAAAAATCCCAATTTTAGGTCTGAAAAAAATCCCAATTTTAGGTCTGAAAAAAATCCCAATTTTAGGTCTGAAAAAAATCCCAATTTTAGGTCTGAAAAAAATCCCAATTTTAGGTCTGAAAAAAATCCCAATTTTAGGTCTGAAAAAAATCCCAATTTTAGGTCTGAAAAAAATCCCAATTTTAGGTCTGAAAAAAATCCCAATTTTAGGTCTGAAAAAAATCCCAATTTTAGGTCTGAAAAAAATCCCAATTTTAGGTCTGAAAAAAATCCCAATTTTAGGTCTGAAAAAAATCCCAATTTTAAGTCCAAAAAAATCTCAATTTCGGATCCAAAATCTTCATTTTTAGTCTAAAAAAATCCAAATTTTAGGTCTGAAAAAAATCCCAATTTTCTGCCAAAAAAAAAATCCCAATTTTAGGTCTGAAAAAATCCCTATTTTCTGCCAAAAAAAAAATCCCAATTTTGGGTCCCAGAATTTTTATTTTTAATTCATGAAAAATCCCAATTTTGGGTCCAAAATTCTTCATTTTCCGCCCCAAAAAAAATCACAATTTTAGGTCCGAAAGAATCCAAATTTTGCATCCGAATATCTTCATTTTTAGGTGAAAAAAAAATCAAAATTTTAGGTCAAAAAACCCCAATTTTGGCTCAAAAAAAACCCCAAATTTTTTTGTCCAAAAATCTTCATTTTTAGTCCCAAAAAAATCCCAATTTTAGGTCCAAAAAAATCTCAATTTCGGATCCAAAATCTTCATTTTTAGTCTAAAAAAAATCCCAATTTTAGGTCCAAAAAAATCTCAATTTCGGATCCAAAATCTTCATTTTTAGTCTAAAAAAAATCCCAATTTTAGGTCCAAAAAAATCTCAATTTCGGATCCAAAATCTTCATTTTTAGTCTAAAAAAAATCCCAATTTTAGGTCTGAAAAAACCCAAATTTTAGGTCTGAAAAAATCCCAATTTTCTGCCAAAAAAAATCCCAATTTTGGGTCCAGAAATTTTTATTTTTAATTCATGAAAAATCCCAATTTTGGGTCCAAAATTCTTCATTTTCCGCCCCAAAAAAAATCACAATTTTAGGTCCGAAAGAATCCAAATTTTGCATCCGAATATCTTCATTTTTTAGGTCAAAAAAATCAAAATTTTAGGTCAAAAAAAATTCCATTCTTCATTTTCCGCCCCAAAAAAAATCACAATTTTAGGTCCGAAAGAATCCAAATTTTGCATCCGAATATCTTCATTTTTAGGTGAAAAAAAAATCAAAATTTTAGGTCAAAAAACCCCAATTTTGGCTCAAAAAAAACCCCAAATTTTTTTGTCCAAAAATCTTCATTTTTAGTCCCAAAAAAATCCCAATTTTGGGTCCAGAAATTTTTATTTTTAATTCGTGAAAAATCCCGATTTTGGCTCAAAAAAACCCCCAAATTTTTGTCCAAAAATCTTCATTTTTAGTCCCAAAAAAATCCCAATTTTGGGTCCAGAAATTTTTATTTTTAATTCGTGAAAAATCCCGATTTTGGCTCAAAAATTCTTCATTTTCCGCCCCAAAAAAATAACAATTTTAGGTCCGAAAGAATCCGAATTTTGCATCCGAATATCTGCATTTTTAGGTAAAAAAAAATCAAAATTTTAGGTCAAAAACCCCCAATTTTGGCTCAAAAAAACCCCCAAATTTTTGTCCAAAAATCTTCATTTTTAGTCCCAAAAAAATCCCAATTTTAGGTCCAAAAAAATCCAAATTTTGGGTCAAAAACCTCTAATTTTGGACCAAAAAAACCCAAATTCGCCGTTTCTCCCCCAAACCTCATTTTCCCACGCTCCCCTCATTTGCATTTTTGGCCCCTCCCACTTTTTAACCCAAAAATCGCCGAATTCGCCCCAAATTTTGCTCCCGGGGCGCCCCCTTGTGGAAGACACCAGAAATGCCTCAAAAACTCCCAAATTTGGGGGGCGGGGTCATCTGGAGGCCACGCCCACTTAAGCCACGCCCCCTTGGCCTCCCCCCGCCCCAAATTTGCTCAAAAATCGAAATTTTTATCATTTTTAAACCAAATTTTGGGTGGTTATTTCAATTTTCAAGGTGTTTTCCCAGCTGGGCCACACCCACTTAAGCCCCGCCCATTTTCCGCTAAACCACGCCCCTTTTTCGATAAGCCACGCCCCCTTTCCCCTTAAAATCCGAATTTTTACTCAAAAAAATTCCAATTTTAACCCAATTTTCTCAGATTTTCCCCAATTTCCCCCAAATTTTCCCAATTTTCCCCCATTTTCCCCACCAGAGCCACGCCCCCTTAAGCCCCTCCCACTTCCCCATTAAGCCACGCCCCCTTTCCCCTTAAAATCCAAATTTTTATGTTAAAAAATCCAATTTTAACCCAAATTTTCTCAGATTTTCCCTCAATTTCCCCCAAATTTCCCCAATTTCCCCCAAATTTCCCCACCATATCCACGCCCCCTTAAGCCCCGCCCACTTCCCTTTAAGCCACGCCCCCTTTCCCCTTAAAAATTACTCAAAAAAATTCCAATTTTAACCCAAATTTTCTCCGATTTTCCCCAAATTTTTCTCAATTTTCCCCAGCAGAGCCACGCCCCCTTAAACCCCGCCCACTCCCCTTAAGCCCCGCCCTATCCCATTAAGCCACGCCCCCTTTCCCCTTAAAAAACTAATTTTTACTCAAAAAAATTCCAATTTTAACCCAAATTTTCTCCGATTTTCCCCAAATTTTTCTCAATTTTCCCCAGCAGAGCCACGCCCCCTTAAACCCCGCCCACTCCCCTTAAGCCCCGCCCTATCCCATTAAGCCACGCCCCCTTTCCCCCTTAAAAATCCAATTTTTTCTTTAAAAAAATCCAAATTTTCACCAGATTCCCCCCTAAATTTCTTTCATTTCCGCCCCGCCCCCTTAAACCCCGCCCCCTTTCCTTTTCACCCCGTTTTCCCGCCAGATTTCCGCCATCTTGTTTCCAAATTTTTCATTTTTTCCCCTAATTTTCTTTATTTTTTCACGGGATTTTTTCGCTTTTTCCTCATTGGCCGCGCCGCTCAGCCCCACCCCGGCGGCCCCGGTGACCACGCCCACCGGTACCACCCCCGGTAGGTGAGGGCCCAGGCGGCCCAGCCCAGGGCGGCGCCGGCGGCGTTGCGGGCCCAGGTGTGGCGGTAGGTGAGCGTCACCACCAGCAGGAGGTGCCACGTGACCAGCAGGGCCACGGCCAGCAGGTACAGGATGGACAGGGCGGCGGGCGGGGCCGCAACATGGCCGCCGGCAAGATGGCCGCCTTCAAATTGGGGAGAAGCGCTGAGAAAATGGCGGCCGGCGGGGTCAAAATGGCGGCCGGCGGGGCCAAAATGGCCGCCCGGGTGGTCAAAATGGCGGCCGGCGGGGTCAAAATGGCCGGCGGAATCAAAATGGCCGCTGTAGTCAAAATGGCCGCCGGAATCAAAATGGCCGAGGCTTCTTCCTTCAAGATGGCGGCCGGAATCAAAATGGCGGCCGGAATCAAAATGGCGGCCGGATTCAAAATGGCCGAGGCTTCTCCCTTCAAGATGGCCGCCGAAATCAAAATGGCCGCCGCTCCTCTCTTCGCGGCGGGGTCAAAATGGCCGCCCGGGCGGTCAAAATGGCGGCCGGGGTGGTCAAAATGGCCGGCGGAATCAAAATGGCCGCCGTAGTCAAAATGGCCGCCGGAATCAAAATGGCCGCCGGAATCAAAATGGCCGAGGCTTCTTCCTTCAAGATGGCGGCCGGAATCAAAATGGCGGCCGGAATCAAAATGGCGGCCGGATTCAAAATGGCGGCCGGATTCAAAATGGCCGAGGCTTCTCCCTTCAAGATGGCCGCCGAAATCAAAATGGCCGCCGCTCCGCTCTTCAAAATGGCCGCCCCCGCCCCAAAATGGCCGCCCAAGATGGCCGCCGGCCCCGCCCCAGCCGTAGTGAGGAGGCCCCGCCCACTCGAAGCCGATTGGGCGAGGCGGCGGCGAGCCCGGCCGCCATGTTGGGCGCGGCCACTCGGCGGCCATCTTGGATCCTTCCTCCATCTTGTAGCGGGCCGCCATCTTGGATCCGGGCGCCATCTTGGATTCCTCCGCCATCTTGTACCCGGCGGCCATCTTGGATTCTTCGCTCGCATCATATCCGGCGGCCATCTTGTATCCGGCGGCCATCTTGGATTCTTCACTTCCGTCATAGCCGGCGGCCATCTTGGATTCTTCACTTCCGTCATAGCCGGCGGCCATCTTGGATTCCTCCCTCACGTCGTGCCCAGCGGCCATCTTGTACCAGGGCGCCATCTTGTACCAGGGCGCCATCTTGGATCCGGCGGCCATCTTGGATCCGGCGGCCATCTTGGGTCCGGCGGTCATCTTGGATCCGGCGGCCATCTTGGCCGCCCCGGCGGCCATCTTGGGCCCGTACAGGCTCCGCCCCAGCGCCGCCGCCTCCTCGGCCAATCCCAGCCCGCAGTGCACCAGCGCGAAGGCCTGGGGGGCGGGGCTAAACCCCTCCCAGCTGTGCCCCGCCCCCCGGCAGGCCGCGGGGTCTCCCAGGGGCACCAGGAGGGTCCCCAGCGGGGTGGGGGAGGTGCAGGCGCCCGTGGCCGCCTCCAGGGCGTGGCCGAGGGCGTGGCCGGCCCGCGAGAGCGCCAGGCCGACGGCCAATCGGGCGAGGGCGCGGAGGGCGGCGCCCCAGGGGGGGCGGAGCCAGGGGTGGGAGGCCACCAGCAGGGAGCCAATCAGGAGCCAGGTCCAGGCGGCGGCCGAGGAGGTCAGGCGGCTGAAAATTATCGATTAATTATCGATTATCGGCCATTAATTACCGATTAATACCCATTAATCATCGATTATCAGCCATTAATCATCAATTATTAGCTATTAATAGCGAATTATTAGCTATTGATGATCGATTATTGGTTATTTATTTGTTATTAATGAATTATTTCTTGGTTATCAATCATTAATTATCAATTGTCACCCGTTAATTCATCATCAATTATCACCCATTAATCATGAATTATTGGCTATTAATCATCAATTATTGCTTATTAATGATCGATTATTTGTTATTTATTAGTTATTAATTAATTATTTCTTGGTTATTTATCGATCATTATCAATTATCACCCCTTAATCATCAATTATTAGCTATTAATAGCGAATTATTAGCTATTGATGATCGATTATTGGTTATTTATTTGTTATTAATGAATTATTTCTTGGTTATCAATCATTAATTATCAATTGTCACCCATTAATTAATAATCAATTATCACCCATTAATTAATCATGAATTATTGGCTATTAATCATCAATTATTGTTTATTAATGATCGATTATTTGTTATTTATTAGTTATTAATTAATTATTTCTTGGTTATTTATCAATCATTAATTATCGATTATCACCCATTAATGAATCATCAATTATCATCCATTAATCATCAATTATTGGCTGTTAATTACCGATTATTTGTTATTTATTGGTTATTAATTAATTATTTCTTGGTTATCAATCAGTGATTGATTGGTAATTGGTTATTGGCTGTTTATTGGTTATTGGCTAATTGGCAATTGAATAATTGGTTTTCAATTGATTACTGATAATGGAATATTGATTATCAGTTATTTATTGGTTATTTATTAGTTATTATTTATGCATTGGTTCTTTTTTATTAATTAATTGGTTATTGGTTATTTATTGGCTATTGGTTAATTGGTGATCGAATAATTGCGGTTATTGATTGGCTATTGATTATTGTTATTGATTATTGGTTATTTATCAGTTATTTATTAGTAATTAATTATTTACCAGTTAATTATTGATTTTTAATTGATTGGTAATTGGTTATTGGCTGTTTATTGGTTATTGGCTAATTGGCGATTGAATAATTGGTTTTCAATTGATTACTGATTATGGAATATTGATTATCGGTTATTTATTGGTTATTAATTGGTTATTTATTAGTTATTATTTATGCATTGGTTCTTTTTTATTAATTAATTGGTTATTGGTTATTTATTGGCTATTGGTTAATTGGTGATCGAATAATTGGGTTTTATTTGGGTATTGATTATGGATTGATTATTAATTGGTATTTTATTAATTATTGATTATTGGCTGGTTATTGATTGGTTAATGATTGGTATTTGGTTACTGTTTGATTTATTGATTGGTTATTGATTAGTTTCTGATTATTGCTTGGTTATTTAATATTGTCTGTATTAATTATTGATTGGTTATTGATTATTGTCTGTTTATTGATTATTGATTGGTTAGTGGTTGCTGTTTGCTCATTGATTAGTATTCAATCGCTTGCTGATCGGTTATTGATCGGTGATTGGTTACTGATCACACACTGATAATCCCATGCATCACACTTTATTGATTATTGATTATCGATCGATCCATTGGCGATCACCGATCGATCGACTGATCGATCGATCGATCGATTGATCCCAGCCCCACAGATATCGATCCCAGCCCCACAGATATTGATCCCAGCCCCATATTGATCCCAGCCCCGTAGGTATTGATCTTTGCCCCACAGATATTGATCCCAGCCCGATATTGATCCCTGCCCCACTGATCAGTCCCTGCCCCACAGATATTGATCTCCGCCCCGCAGATCCCAAATCCCGCCCCATAGATGCCGTTTTCAGCCCCAAAACCACCCCAAACCCCCAAAAAAACCCCAAAAAACCCCAAATCCCACCCCAAAAACGACCCAAAACCACCCAATCCCACCCCAAAAACCACCCCAAAACCCACCAAAAACCCCAAATCCCAACCCCAAAACCCCAAAAAAACCCCCAAAAAAACCCCAAAAAAGCCCAAAAAACCCCAAATCCCACCCCAAAACTGACCCCAAAACCCCAAATAATCCACCTCGAAAGAACCCCAAATTCACCCCCCAAAATTCCCAAAATTCCACCCCACCCTCGCAAGCCCCGCCCCTTCCCCCAGGCCCCGCCCACCGAGGCGCTGGCGAGCCACGCCCCCTCGGGGCTCCAGCTGACGTCACGCACGCAGGCGCCGTGATTGGCCAGCCGCCGCAGGACACGCCCCGTGATGACGTCATAGACTGCCGGGGGGAAAGGGGGCGGGGCCAGCGAGCCCCGGGCCCCGCCCAGTTCCAACCAGTTCAAACCAGTTCGTGGTTTTAACCCTTTTTTAACCCTTTTTTCGCCGTTTTTTCGCTGTTTTTCCCCTCCCAGCCTCCTCCCAGTCCCAAACCAGTCCAAACCAGTACAAACCAGTTTGATTTTTAACCCTTTTTTACCCGTTTTTCCCCATTTTTCCCCCCCCATTTTCCCCATTTTTTCACTTTTTTTGCCATTTCTTACCCCTTTCCCCCATTTTTTCACCATTTTTCACCATTTTTCACTGTTTTTCCCCTCCCAGTCCCTACCAGTCCCTCCCAGTCCCAAACCAGTACAAACCAGTAACCCAAACCCATTTTTAACCCTTTTTTCCCATATTTCCCCCATTTTTCGCAATATTTTCCCCATTTTTCACCATTTTTTGTCATTTTTTCACCGGTTTTCCCCATTTTTTCCCTCCCAGTCCCTCCCAGTCCCAAACCAGTCCCAAACCAGTACAAACCAGTAACCCCCAGTCCCAAACCAGTACAAACCAGTAACCCCAATCCCATTTTTCTCCCATATTTTCCCCATTTTTACCCCTTTTTTCCCCATTTTTTCACCGTTTTTCCCCATTTTTTCACCATTTTCCCCCTCCCAGTCCCTCCCAGTCCCCCCCAGCGCCCTCCCAGTACCTCCCAGTCCCTCCCAGTCCCAAACCAGTACAAACCAGTAACCCCAAATCCCCATTGAATCCATTTTTAACCCTTTTTTCCCCACATTTTCCCCATTTTTTCACCGTTTTTTCCCATTTTTTCACCATTTTTCCCCTCCCAGTGCCCCCCAAACCCCTCCCAGTCCCTCCCAGTGCCCCCCAGCGCCCTCCCAGTCCCTCCCAGTCCCTCCCAGTCCCAAACCAGTACAAACCAGTAACCCCAAATCCCCATTTAATCCATTTTTAACCCTTTTCTCCCAGCCCCCCCCAGCGCCCTCCCAGTCCCTCCCAGTCCCTCCCAGTCCCAAACCAGTACAAACCAGTAACCCCAAATCCCCATTGAATCCATTTTTAACCCTTTTTTCCCCACATTTTCCCCATTTTTTCACCGTTTTTTCCCATTTTTTCCCCATTTTTCCCCTCCCAGTGCCCCCCAAACCCCTCCCAGTCCCTCCCAGTCCCTCCCAGTACCCCCCAAACCCCTCCCAGTACAAACCAGTCCCAAACCAGTACAAACCAGTAACCCCAAATCCCCATTTAATCCATTTTTAACCCTTTTTTCCCCATAATTTCCCCATTTTTTCACCGTTTTTCACCATTTTTTCACCATTTCCCCCCTCCCAGTGCCCCCCAAACCCCTCCCAGTCCCTCCCAGTGCCCCCC